TGTCTATGTTTCTCATTGTCTCTGTGATCACTACACTACCCACACAGAAACATAGACACATAGCTTAAACAGTGTACTTTTAAAAGTTCTCATGCAATGTTGCAATATATTCCAATGGTCAACTTCTTGTGTAGCATATATGAGACCTTGATTCAAATGGTAATATTTCAGACATAAGTATCTCGTTTTGATTAACAAATACTGTGTTTGAAACATGACTACTTCACGTTGAAGGTCAGGACACTGTTTCTCTCATCAAAGAGTTCAATTCCATTTTTTTCTCATGGAAAACTCACTCTGTCACTTGTCTAAGTTTGGAGTCATCAGGACAACAGGAAGCTCAGGGAACACTGAGTAGAGAGGTGACGTCCTCATGATGCTGACATCTCCCGGCCTCCATCCTCCAACCGGGCTGCTTCATCTTGACGAATGATGTGGACAGAAGAGACTGCATGAAGCCAACATCTCTAGTCACCAAAGAAATGGATATTAAACGCAAAAGGATAAGGTGCCTGTAAGCAGTGATGTGAGTGCCATGTACCCAAAGAGGGAATCAAACCAAGGGTTGAGGGGATGGAGAAGGAGTTGGCTGTGCTGTGTAAAAATGGGTGTTTGCTAGTAAGACATCAGCAAGCACTGTGTGGGTCTCAGAAAATGACTCACACTAGATGATGGGACCCAACAATCTCACATCGGGGTGAGTAGACTAAGGAAGCAGAGTGGGTGCAGGAAAGCAGGGTGAATCTCAAATTAATAAAAGACCCAGAGACTGATATTGAAGTTCAAACTTCAAGCTGAGGGTCACTAAAGCAAAGCAGCTACCGAATAGCTTCTTACCTCTACCTCAGTCTGAATGGGTTGATCCTGTCTCCATGAGCTTTCACCAAGCCTCAGACTAACCTCTGCTGAGCATGGCTGGAAAAATGAATGCCTCTTATTGAGACATTGATTCTGTCTTATAAACTCCCCTAATGTTGGGATTAAGGTGTGAGCTTTAATTCTCCTTTAAACTAATTCACTTTTGTGTAAATCTGTGTGGGCTTGGACTTAAAGAGATTATTCTATCTATTAAATCTGACTCCTAGGATTCAAGGTGTTTACGATCGCCTGCTAGCATATGGCTGCTGGGACTAAAAGTGAGTGCTTGGTTTCTAAGGCTTGTAGCTGCCTTTGCTTTTCTGAATCATCAGGGAAGATTTAATAAATCAAAAATAATATACCACTATAAAAGAGAAGTATGGAAGGGAGAAAAAATGAGACATTTGGGTAGGAGGGGGCAGAGGGGCAAAGGAGAGAAAGAGGAAGCAGAGACAGGGAAGTGGGATGCATCCATGTAATCCAAGTATATTTCAAATGAGCATGGGGTTTGTTTGTAAGCAGAATGCAGGACATAGATGAAAACACAATATTTTCATATAGCGTTGGATGTTAATATACATATACCTGTCTGCCCTTGTATGGGTGTCTCTGTGTAGAATTATCTCAGTTGCTGTATGACTATGCAAGTTTGGGTTCACTTAGCTTGAGAAATGCAAATTTTCTCAAAAAACTATAAATAGTTTACATTACAAAGGTTATCAGAGCATTGTCTGACCAAGGGAGCTTCTGAGGGCTCAAGTGCCCAGGGAGACTGGGATTGAGGGTTTGACTTAAGGTTCTGACTCTCCCTTCCCTTGAACAAGTCTCTGCAGACATTCCAGCTCCCTATCCTGCCTAGGATCCCAGTGACTCTCAAACACCAGAGGCTGAGGACACAGCTCAGCTGACACTGCCTTCCACATTTCAGTGTGAGGCAGACACTGTGTTGCTCATAAACACAGTCTGCTGTTATTTTTACCTTCTCATTCAGGTGTGTGGTGTTGAACAAAATAGTGAGATTCCAGCAAATTTTGTGACTCAACTTCACACTATGTGAGAATGACATGCTGTCCAGACTCAGAGGGGTGTCAGCAGCTGAGGGTGTGGATTTCCTATACTGCTCCTTGAATTCTTTTGTCTCTTTCTGTGTTTGCTTTGATTTAACCTCCCTACCACAAAGTTCTTGAGATCCCTACTCAGTATCTTAAATAACATTTCTGATCACTAAGAGCAACAAATCCGGTCCTGAATTCACTTCTTGATTTTTCAGAGGTTTACAAACACATTGAGGATATGATACCGTGTTCCAGTCTCATGGCATGAGCATGGACTCACTGTAAAGACTCCCATTTTTGCTTGACAGGTTTGCACTATGTGACTGATAATATTTCTTCCATATCACACATGACAAACTCAGATAGAACTAGTGAAACTTTCTGAATATACATTTTCATTTCCACCAATATGCAATAGGCAAATGTCAGACACCTGAAAGGATGATTATAAAACTTGCTCTGTGCCTTCTTTTATCATCTCAGGATCCTCCCCCAATGCAAAGCCGCCTCAGGCACAGGCTGAAAGACCAGGCCTAGCTGAGCAGCCTCATCTCCTTCTCACTGGAGCCTCCAGAAGAGCATGGCTGTCCTGATGCTGCTCCTATGCCTGGTGAACTTTCCAAGCTGTAAGTGTGCAGATTTTCAGGAGAGGGAACCAGGCAGGTCATTATAGATTGTAGGACTGATCGTGATTGGTTTGTCTCAGGTGTCCTGCCACAGGTGCAGCTGAAGGAGTCAGGATCTGGCCTCATAACCCTCACAGATCCAGTCTCTCCCCTGCACTGCCTCTTGGTTCTCATTAACTGCCTATGGTGTAAACTATGCTCACCAGCCTCTAGGAGAGGTTCTGGAGTGGATGGGAGTAATGTGCAGTGGTGGAGGCACTGATTCAAACTCAGCTCTCAAATCCCATTCCCATTCACCAGGGACACATCCAAGAGGCAAGTGTTCTTAAAACTGAACAATCTGCAAACTGAGGACACAGCCTTGAATATCTGTACTAGAAACACACAGTGAGGAACTCCAGTGTGGACCTGCTAGAAAGGTCCCTACAGTGACACTCATGACCAGCAGGGGGCCAGGGATCCTAGGAAGACTCCCATGACAAGTCTGGGGTGGTTTCAGAATCTATGAAATTCTGGACTATACTGCATGAGCATGTGTTTTTATGTCAGCACATGTGGTTTCCTCTTCCATCCATGGAAATCCTCTAGAGACCTCTCTTCTGTCATATTATACTCAATTTCTGTGTTCACACACTAGAAGATAAGTTTTACACACAATGCATCTGAGATAACCAATTGCTGCTCTTTATCCCATTCAATGGCACATATTTTTATACATACCATATATGTGCACCTATGTTTATACATTCCCTTATGTGCATGGAAATTTCAAAAGGAGTCAGCATTTTTGACATTTGTTGACAGGGTAAGTTCAGAAAGGAGGTTTGGAATTTTAAAAACACTTTTCTTCATCCATTTCATTTTTGTATATGTGGTAGAGAATCTACAGCTTCTCTAAATTGGTATCATATTGCCAAGCTGCCATGGAAACCGAAATTCTAATAGTGTCCTTCTTCTACACCAGAAGATTCCATAAAAGGATAGAGCTGGTTATCCTGTTTGACAGATTCTATTTTACACGTGTGTATCTTTGTAAAAATTAGCTTTCAATAAAGTCCTAGAGAATTATCCCACAACATGTCAAATGACGAGTCTGTCTTTTGGGGTTAACTCATAAAATTCTACTACCTCCATATATGTAGACCAGTATAGGTTCTTATTTACTGTGGTCAACATTCATAAACACAGAATTTATTAATCGTTCTCATGTAACTAAGTTATCTTCACAATTACACTGTACAAATCAGGGACACTGTACCATAATTTTAATTTCCTTGACATCCATTTCTAAGAGTACACTTGATAATAGGTCCTTGTGTTCTCTCGGTGCCTGGCTGTCATTTCCAAAATATCCTGCAGGTTCATTCAGCTCTATTAGTGTGTAGACTCTTGAGAACATGATTCTCCAGTACTAGAGAAGCAAATGGGGATTTATGTGCATTTCCTGACACATGAAATTAGCTGCTCATAACCACCTATAAGGACAGATGCATTGAGTTTGTAACCATTAAATCTAAACTGCCCACACAGAAATACATACTTATAATTAAAATAAAGCATTTCTGTAGTTTTTCCCCTTCCAGCTCTGGTAGGTATTCAGTTTAAGAGTTCTTAGGTAATACAGATGAGGTCTGGATTCAAATGTTAATATTTCTTAGCCATATTCCTCATATTTTGACTAATAAATACTATTTTGTGATACTGCTAATCCCTGTTAAAGATTATTACCATGTCATTCCCTGTTAAAGTGTATCCATGAAATCAGCAGGGTTCTCAGATACCCCAGGGAACACAAAGTTGAGAGGTGATGTCCTCACGAACAGACATCTTCTTACCCCACATCCTCTGATTGGAATCCTTCTTCATGACCAACACACATAGGTAGAAAAGTTTTCATAAAACCAACATCTGTATCACCAGACAAATGGATATCTCCCAGGGCAGGGACTGTAGGATTCACCTTCATGTCCAGCTTCTAATCTGAGTGCTGTGGATAAAACTGAGACACTCATACTGGGATGCAGGCCCCATTCCACAAAGCCATCTCCTCCATCCTGAATTCTCTCAGTACACAGTGTACACATTAATAAAAGTATTTTAACCTACAAAACAATACATTTTTTTTTGGTTTTCCGAGACAGGGTTTCTCTGTGTCTTTGGAGCCTGTCCTGGAACTAGCTCAAAACAATACATTTTATACTCATATTAATACTAAAGTTTACTTTAGTCACAGACATTCCCATATAAATTATATTGGCTTTTGATTCAAGCACATACATTACATATATAAAATATTGTGTTTTCTAAGAGCTTACAATGAAGATATAACATATTAAGGAAGCATTCATAAACCTACCTAGACTATACACTTATACACTCTACAGATTGTATTGAAAATGGGAACAAAATTAGTGATGAATAAATTTGATCAAGTACTCTTTTAAAATATATATTCAGAATGTTCCATGGAGGTTATTTGCTGATATTGAGGTATTTTAGCTTTATGGGGACACTTACCACACCCATATAACTCCATGTGAAGGTAAATGCACCTCTATTTCCAAAGATGACTCTGAAGTCCTGAGTGTGCTCTAAGACTCTGTTGCACACAGAGGCATATCAGTGAACATGAGGGAAACT